TACTCCTGTTCTTTTTGCGGATACAGACTAACACGGCTGCTACTCTGAAACCTAACTTAATTGTATTATAGACACTGGCACTTAGTGACACATAACATGAAAATTGATGAAGCTTTATTGGGAAACCTTTCTTCTCGGCCATAAATAAGTCAAAAAGGTGATTTTTTTGTTGTCATGTGAGGTTTAGAGTACAAAAAAAAAAGGTTCCCCAGGAAATTCATCACAATTCCTCTGGGTTCTGTCCACCACCTTCTGGAATGCTCTGTAAAAATAGTGACCAATTGGTCTAATTCCTTGAAATTAGCAACTGAACCTCATTTCTTGAAGAGCTAGCTAAGCAGAGTATGAGGGGCGGCACATCATATGGCCTTACTAAGACAACTTTTCGTTTTAAATGTCATGCATTATGAACATTTTCAATGCAATAATTCAGTTTAGAAGATTTATTCACAATATGCCACTCATGGCAGTGTGGCCTAACCTTACCGTGATTATTTGAAAATAAATACCCTAAAATTATCTTGTAATGGATTCATTTGCAGTGTGGTCCCCTCTCCCCCTTCCCAGGCTGGTGATGCAGGGAAGTGGAGAAGCAGAGGTGCTGGGCTGCTACTCACAGGTGATGCCACTGGATCAGAATCTGCTTCCCATCAGAATTTGCTCCTTTGCTGTTTCTGATCAGGCTCCAGTGACGTAAACATGGAACGGCGTTTCTTGTAAGGCTGAAAGATCTGAGGCTGAGATCAAGTTATAAACAAGCAAAAGGTGACTTCTAAAATCTACATCTGTGAAGAAAACTTCTCTGTCTGTAGGATGATTTTGCTATACAAAAAGCTCAAGGAATGAAATAGGTATAATTGTCCCCGCTCTGTGGGAGGGGATTTTTTTTTCTTAAGTCAGGTCACTTTTACAGGTCACTATTTAATTGGGAACAACCTATAAAAATTGTCTTGCATTTGTGTAAACTTTTTAATCAGAGCAGGGTCAAGCTGAAGAATGCCCATTAAGTCATGTGGTGCTGGCTCCTTATTCAACTTTTTCTTCTTTAACTGCTATTTCACAGCTGTTGTTAATGCAGAGTAATGTTCTAACCCTTAGCCTGCAAGACAGCCCAGTGACGAACGCTCTTGCTTTAGATTGTACATTCAGCTCCAATGTCACATCAGCATTTTCTCAGTGCCTACTTCAGGCAGGCCAGTGAGTTTTATGATAGCTCCCTCTCAGTTATCACGATTGAATCTTTAATAATCCAAAGGTTTTTCAAGTTTGATTGAATAAAATTCTTTGAATAATAATAATGAAAATATCATCTGCTGAAGCCGCTGCCCTCACTGGTGAACAATCTGCTCCCTGCAATCAAAGGGGGCTAAAGCAGGGAAGTGGGAAGGGTGGGATGGACAGAATTTGTGTAGGAGACAAAAGGTGTCCAGAGGAGGGTGAAAGGGAGCAGGGGCTGCACTAGGGAGGGGAAGGAGAAGGGCAGATGGGCGAAATCGGGGAGGCACTGGGGTTCAGAAAGGGGAGATGCACGGCCCGTTTGCAGGGTATACGTTCCCCTGGCACTTATGTTTCTGCCTCTGGCCGTGCGCACCGCTGCCCCATTCTAGGCATGAGGTGTCTCTCTCCCACCTAAGCCCCAGAGTGAGTCATGGACCAGGGGAAGATCAGCATTCAGCTGCCAATCTTGCTTGTAGGGCCTGTTCCTCCCAGCACAGCTACCAGATTGGGTCCCATTCAAACATCTGTTCAGCGGAGGAGGTGGTGCTGGTGCCCATTTTATAACTTCTAGCCCAGTAGATAAAGCACTCAGCTGAATGTGAGGAATCCAAGTTCAATCTCACCCCTCTGCCAAAAAGTATTTGAACCGTGTGTCTCTCACTGCTCAGACGGGCGTGTTAACCACTGTGATGGGGCCCCCGGGGTGCAACCTGGTCTGTGGAACCGCTGGGCCCTCTGTCCCGCCATCCTGGGCTGCCCCTCACACTGTGATGCTGTTGACAAGCTACAAAACCTTTGGCAGGTGCTGCACTTACACAGCCATTGACTTGCAGGGACACACCCAAGTGAGTTACATGAATGCTTCTCCCAGCCAATCATGAACCAACAATAGAGAGGCTCCAGCCAGAGCGCAGCCACACTTGGTGCTCTAGCATCAACAGTGAGAGCAGCAGTCCAAAAGGATGGATCCTGCACTCATCTCTACTGGTGTGGTCACTGTTATGAACTAGGTCTGTTGATTAATCACAGTTAACTCACGCGATTAACTAAAAAAATTTAATTATTAAAAACAATTTTAAATTAATCATGATTAATCACAGTTTTAATCGCACTGTTAAACAGTAGAATACCAACTGAAATGTATTCAATATTTTTGGATTTTTTTCTACATTTTAAAATATATTTATTTCAATTACAACACAGAACACGTTGTGGGAGCTGGGTTTGGTGGGGGAGGCAGCAGCTGGGGCTGGGCAGTCTCTATGCGGGACAAGGTTCTTCTCGCTGTAGAGGATTTTACATCAGTATTTAATAACCAGAGGAAAGGGGCGATGTCAGCAGGGATTTTATTTCCAAATGGAAGAATTAGAGAGAAAACAGCAAAATCTGCAGCTGGAGATGAGTGTCTAGTACTTGAAAAATGGCCTTTCCTTAAAGGTGACCTGAAGGGGAGAGAATAACTGGGATCTGCTTCCTTTTGTGATTCTCTAGGTCACATAGGGGAGGCCTGACAGCTTCCTGGCAGGGTTTTTTCCACCTGAAAAAATGAATTGTGCTTGAGTTTTCTCCCCAAAATACCTTCCCTCCCCTGTTGTTGCTGTGGCTGGTTGGAAAACTACCATGTGTCTTGGGAGCTTTCTTAGGGCCAGTCTACACTTCAAACACTGCAGCGGCACAGCTGTGCTGCTGTAGCGTGTCCGTGAAGATGTTCCTGACACCGACGGGAGGCATCTCCACTTCCCTGCGAGCTGGTAGCTGTGCTGGAAGAAGCATGGGCGGCAGGTTTGTAGAAATTTTGGTGGTGCCCAGAACCTGCCCCCACCCAAACTCCGTCCCCCCAAAACTCTGCCCCCCACCTGCCCAAGACACTGTGAGGGAGTTTGGGTGGGGCAGGAGGTCTGGGGTGCAGGATGCTGGCTCTGGGAGGGAGTTTGGGTGTGGGAGGGGGTGTGGAGAGATCTGGTCCAAATATTGCTGGAGCTGGGCCCCGGGCTCCAAATATTGCTGGTGCTTGAGCACCACGTGGGTATATAACGCCCATGGGAAGAAGCCCTCCCCTGTTGACAGGTTTACACAGGGGTTAGGTCGGTTTAATTGTGTCAATCAGGGGGGTGGATTTTTCACACCCCGGGCAGCGTAGTTCTACCGACTTAATTTCCTATGATAGACCTGGCCTCAGATTCCCACCGCCGAGGGAGGTGCTGAATCTTGAACTAACTGAGCTTTTGCGCCAAGTGTTCTTAAGACCAGAATTTTTAATTAGTAAAAGAATAAAAAAGCTTGAAGGCCTTTTTCACCTCTATTGATCCCAAGGAAACAATGATCAGAAAACTCATTATTTTATCTTTTCCTGGTCGCCTTTACAAATTGTGGCTGATCACCTCAATTCAGGATTAGGTGGAAGGGAGCTTGATGTTGGTAAAGGTCTGTGCCCCAGAAAGGTAGGGTTACCATATTTCCACAAGCAAAAAAGAGGACACTGGGGGGGAGGAGCCCCGCTCTAGCCCCGCCCCCGCCCCACCCCCATCCACTCCCTCCCACTTCCCACCCCGA